ATCATTCTCTCCATCTTACCTGCGGTGCTAATCCTTTCCCATTCTATGTGTTTACAGTTACTGCATCTTCCACTTGAATTTTCAGCGAAGAATAATCCCAACTGACTTGCGTGTTCCTCACTTTTTGCGACTAAAGCGTTTGTTTAGTTTTGATATACTGTTACATGTCGATATTTCTCCACTTCTCCACATACGGTTGTAACGTTAAAACGTCTCACTATGTACTTATTTGATATTTACCATGGTAGCCATTTTTTTGGGTTGACAACTGGACAAGTGTAATGCATTGTGGGATACTAACCAGTGGTTAAATCACTTAACCTGTGGTTAGTTAACCACAGGCTAATTTTATTTTGAGCAACAAAAATTTGACCAGTGGTTAGTTACCCAGTGGATATAGAATTTAACCAACGGCTAACTTATCCAGTGGTCAAATTTAACCAGTGTTTTGAGCAACCCAATCCTGAGCTCACCCAATATGCACCATTAATGATAATGATGTACCTTAATTGCTTTATAACAAGACATGTTTTAATTTCAGTGTAAAGTACTAAATTCTCTTCCTGCTGATGAAATGCCCACAATGCCCCACATACCTGTCAAAATATTCTGATGTTAAAAATTTGTCTGAATTTTACATTGTAATTTAGTCATCATAAAATATCAACATTATTTTGAAATTATTTCGGAGTCCAGTTGATAAATGTCATTTTACTTAATATGTACCAGTTAAAAGACAATTTTCAAATAAAGATATTTTAAAGATCAGGACAGAATAGGTCTCCCTGTAATTTTACAATTTTTGGGGAGGAGAATTTGATGTTTGAAGTACTGTCATTTCATAGATTAAATTTATCTAATAGTATTGTGGAATTTTGCAAGCCGACAGAATTTATTTTCTCATGCAGATAGGCATCCAGCCAGATTTCATGTAGACATATAATTTTAAAGCAATATGAGCTGCATTTTTGAAAAATTTATCTTGATGGCATAATGTGTTATTATGGTTAATTTGTATGTAATTTAAACCCTTATGATCAATAGGACCAAAATAAATTTTTAAAATGTTAAAGAAGAAATATTTCTGTTCAATCAAATATATAGTATTATTTAAGAAATCGGTATTGTACGGATGACAATAATGTCAATCAAAGCTAATATAAAGAGCTCTTCCATCGCAAATATGAAGAACAGAAGTTTATAAATGTTCTTAATATTTTCTTTCATATAAATGGTTAATTACAAATTTTCAACAAAATTTCCCATGTCAAACATGCAGCTCATATATTACTTTAAATAACAGATACAGTGAAAATATGGAAACTTCCTATTTTACTTTTTAAGATCAAGTGCATGGATTTCTTATTATAAATTAAGCAACAGTGCATTGTTTTTTTTGTTTTTTTTTGTATCAACATTTTTTTAAATTTATATTTTACTTAGTTAATTTTTGAGACATCTGAAATGTGCAAATAGCTGATATCTGTGATTAGTTAAAACAGTAGCTGTAGACACAAGTTGACAATTTGTAGAATTCTATGTGGTGAATTAATTTTTCTTCTTCTAGATTTTTTTAAAACATGAAATATGATGCCCTGTTAAAATGACGAGTTTGATTCGCAGTAAATTAATGCGAAGTAAACTAATGCGAATCAAATTAATGCGAATTAAATTGCGTTCACACGACAGCTAATGCGAAGTAAACTAATGCGAATTAAAATTTTTCTTCTACAGTCAGGCGTCATTAAGTCTATTATGACGTCATTTGTAAAACACGTCAAGTATGCAGAGCCATCTTTTGATACTTCATGTAGTGGCTATATGTATTCATTGATTTTAGTGATTAACATACTTTCCCTCAATTTTTGAACCAAATATAGCACAAATACCTATATATAACCACCAACACGTGTCCTGTGACTTAATTGTGGCCTTACGCATGCGTCAAAATTTAATTCGAATTAGCTTCGCTTAGCGTTCACACGGAGCTAATGCGAAGTAATTTAATGCGTAGTAAATTAATTCGAATTAAACTAATTCACATTAAATTCTCCCTGTGAACACTAAGCGAAGCTAATTCGCAGTAACTTTATGTTTAATTCGAATTAAACTCTCCGTGTGAACAGGGCATGAGATGACAAAAAGTATTCAAGCTCAATATTCCATTAAAAATTACAAAATAGAAGCGGAGCAAACACGAACCTCCAAAACATCAGAGGTGGAATCAGGTGCCATGGAGGAGTGAGCATACCCTGCCGACCAGTCACACCGCTCTTTGTCATGTTTTTTTGGGGGGGGTGGGGGGAGTCAGTTAGCATTTTACATAATGATAAATTGTATGTGCTGACAAGGTCATTGTATTGACCAAAGAACTTACAAAATGATGACTTTAGGCAAGACTGCTGATATTCTTGTTTCATCAACTTATTTGTCAATAACTTACCTCATGGTGTGGGAGCGGGGAGGATTTGTTTTAGTTGGACCATTTTTTCTAAGTATTGTTTTAGGTGTACCATGCTTTGTTAAGCATTGGATTTAGTTGGGTATTCTTAGTTTAGTATTGGTTTTAGTTGGGCTATTCTTTGTTTAGTATTGGTTTTAGAGGGATCATTGTATTGGTTTTTGGGAGGTCTATCTAGACTTTGTTTAATATTGTTTCTACAGGAATTATTAGAGTTACAACTTAAAAACTATGACGCTTTTACTCTTTTGCTGGATCTTAAATGCTATAAAAGTAAAACAGTGGTACTTGCTCACAACCTTGGAAATTCAAGGTCAGAATTAAACAAAATTTGATCAAGGTTGGATACAGAGAAGGTCAGTTATATAGTAAGTTTGACTTTGTATGCAGTATAGAATTACTGCCTTTGAAAGTCCACATTTGATTGACCTTGGTTGTTGAGAGCATTTACACTCATACACGTACCGGTACTTGGAAGTCTGCTATAGTGTAACTGACAAATCATTTTATTTGCTCAAAAGAACATCTACAACTTGGGCATGTACTGAATTATTAATTACTTTAGCATGATTGTCGAATGTATTAAATCTGCTAGGTAAATAAATTCATAGAATGGGATCGGAACAGATGGAAAAATTAATTTTTATACCCATCTAATCCAGATTAGCTTGCTCAAAGAGAGATAATTGATCAACTCAAATAAAGTACATATACATATATCTGTTATCATTTCCAAGCAGATGGAGTCATCGTAAGAAAAAGGCAATGAAAAAAAATAATTTTAAAGCTTTTGGGTCTGTTCCAAGGAGTCTGAATCACTAGCTATATAGAAGAAAGCATTTAAACTTTGAAGGAAGAAAAGGACTTTGTTTTACAAAGTTTCTCACACATTGCAGTCAACTTAAGTTTAAAAGGTTAATCTGTAATTTAAGATTTGAAAAACATTAAATTTTATGTTCCATTAATTCTAACTAATTATGAATAAAAGACACAAATGTATAAAGGGTATAAAAGGGTGTTGACATTTTACATTTTATTACAATATCAGGTATCAAAGAGAATTTTAGCTTACAACAGAGGGGGTAAATTGTTCTGGGGTGCCTCCAGATCAGATTAGAAACATTAGTAAAGGTACACAAACTGCCCAGGAGCCTGGGGTAAATTAGATCAGCATTTCTAGAGATAACATTAATTGAGGGGATAATCTGATTCTTAAGGATGGAGTCATTCTTACCATTGGATGCTGGGTTAGATGCTGTGGGTGGTCATTTAGTCTGCTGGGATTGGGGAAAAAAATTAAATAAACGGGATAAAAACTTCTTAACAAAATCCAGGCCCATTTTATTTGTTACTTTAATCAAACTGAAAACACATCTTTGTAATTAAAGAACATTTTTATTAGTTACAGAAATGTAGGATTCTTTGTGATCTTTGAAAGGCAGTAAAATATTGAATTTTTTCATGAATAATTAAATATAGAGAATGTATTAAAGTATTTAATTACTGATGAATCTTCCTTATAGATAACAGAAGCTGATTACTATTTATTGTAGATTTAGTAACAAAGACATTCCAAAATGACAGCATCAGGGACCACAGTTATTTGTACATAGACAACTCTACTGGGTCACTATTTGTTGGTGCTAGGTAAGATTCTATCTACATAACATGGACAACTTCACTGGGTGACTATTTGTTGGTGCTAGGTAAGATTTTATCTACATAACATAGACAACTTCACTGGATGACTGTTGGTGCTAGGTAAGATTCTATCTACATAACATAGACAACTTCACTGGGTGATATTTGTTGGTGTTAGGTAAGATTTTATCTGTATAACATAGACAACTTCACAGAGTGACTATTTGTTGGTGCTAGTTAAGATTCTATCTACATAACATGGACAACTTCACTGGGTCACTATTTGTTGGTGCTAGGTAAGATTCTATCTACATAACATGGACAACTTCACTGGGTCACTATTTGTTGGTGCTAGGTAAGATTCTATCTACATAACAATAGACAACTTCACAGAGTGACTATTTGTTGGTGCTAGGTAAGATTCTATCTACATAACATGGACAACTTCACTGGGTGACTATTTGTTGGTGTTAAGTAAGATTTTATCTACATAACAATAGACAACTTCACTGGGTGACTATTTGTTGGTGCTAGGTAAGATTCCATCTACATAACATAGACAACTTCACTGGGTGATATTTGTTGGTGTTAGGTAAGATTTTATCTGTATAACATGGACAACTTCACAGAGTGACTATTTGTTGGTGCTAGTTAAGATTCTATCTACATAACATGGACAACTTCACTGGGTGACTATTTGTTGGTGCTAAGTAAGATTCTATCTACATAACATAGACAACTTCACTGGATGACTGTTGGTGCTAGGTAAGATTCTATCTACATAACATAGACAACTTCACTGGGTGAGTATTTGTTGGTGCTAGGTAAGATTTTATCTATATAACATAGACAACTTCACTGGGTGACTATTTGTTGGTGCTAGGTAAGATTTTATCTACATAACATGGACAACTTCACTGAGTGACTATTTGTTGGTGCTAGGTAAGATTCTATCTACATAACATGGACAACTTCACTGGGTGTCTATTGTTGATGCTAGGTAAGATTCTATCTACATAACATGGACAACTTCACTGGGTGACTATTTGTTGGTGCTAGGTAAGATTCTATCTACATAACATGGACAACTTCACTGGTTGACTATTTGTTGGTGCTAGGTAAGATTCTATCTACATAACATAGACAACTTCACTGGTTGACTATTTGTTGGTGCTATTTAAGATTCTATCTACATAACATAGACAACTTCACTGGTTGACTATTTGTTGGTGCTAGTTAAGATTCTATCTGCATAAGGTAGACAACTTCACTGGTTGACTATTTGTTGGTGCTAGGTAAGATTTTATCTGTATAACATAGACAACTTCACTGGGTGACTATTTGTTGGTGCTAGGTAAGATTTTTATGCCCTGCCATGAATATGGCCGGGGCTTATAGTGTTTGACAGTCACTGTTTGTCATGTCTGTCTTCCGTCTTTCCATTCTTCTGTCCTTCCGTCTGTCCTTCCGTCACACTTTGCGTTTAGCTCAGTTCAGTTTCAAAGAAACTAAGATATTTTCATCAAACTTCATAGGGTGATAGATATTGATGAGAACTATGCAACTGAAGTGTTAAACTTCATATATTGATACATACTGATGTAAGCAATTCAACTGCATCACTATTCAAGATATTCTGAAATTTAATACACAAATTTGAATTTTCAAGTTGCATTACTGATATACCCTCAATGGGGCATTCATGTCCTATGTACATATTTCTAGAATCTACATAGCATAAACAACTTCACTGGGTGACTATTTGTTGGTTCTAGGTAAGATTCTATCTACGAAACATAGACAACTTCACTGGGTCACTATTTAATGGCATAGGTAAGATTTTATCTACATAACATAGAGAACATCACTGAGTGACTATTTGTTGGTGCTAGGTAAGATTTTATCTAAGGGGTGTTAAGAAAGTTCGTTCCGTGATGAAATATTTAAAAAAATTTCAAAGTAATGCTTAACTAAAATCACAAGAGTGTGCTTAAGATTTTAAGCATTTCATTTCTAGCAGGAATTTATAGGATTGTTCTTCCATGTGAAGATATATATAACCTCTTTAAAGCACCTGAATGACAGAAATGCGGGTCATTTTGAGTGAAAATAAAGGCAAATATACTTTTGTTTCTTCATAGCTTATCTTGTATCAGACAAGCTGATGAGCGTAGGTATAACAACGATAGATCACTTTTCAACAGAATAGGATTGTCATTGAGATTTTTCACAGATTTGATAATTTTTTGCATAGTATTTGAAAGGATGTTCTGACCTGTGTGCTTAATATATGTTACAAATGTGCGTCATCCCTGATTTTTTTCTGAACAGACATCATCTGTTTTAATTATACCTGCCCTCCCCTTATTGATTCAACAAAAGACAGTTAAAACCTTATCAGTAGCAAGAACACACTCAGTAAACATGAAATATCACAAATTGAAAATCGTATTTCTTTTCGAAAATAAAAGAAAAAATGTGGAACGAACTTTCTTAACACCCTTTACATAGCATAGACAACTTCACTGGGTGATATTTGTTGGTGTTAGGTAAGATTTTATCTACATAACATAGACAACTTCACTGAGTGACTATTTGTTTGTGCTAGGTGTCCGGTACATAACATAGATAATTTCACTGAGTGACTATTTGTTGGTGCTAGGTAAGATTTTATCTACATAGACAACTTCACTGAGTGACTATTTGTTAGTGCTAGGTAAGATATTCTCTGCATAACTTAGACAATTGGGTGATTATTTATTGGTATAGTTAGGATTTTCTCCTGTGTAAAAAGACAATGCCACTGAGTCATTTTTTGACAATACTAGGTAAAATTATGTTTTCACTAGTGAAAATGTCAAAAAGTCCTTATCCACTCATGAATTATTACTTCCATATCCAACTACAAAACATTAAATATCCTCTATTTATCATTCTGTTGATATTTTTCCCCCTGAACCTATTAGCTTACTACAAACACTCTCACATGAAGCTATCATTACACTGAGTTATAGAAACCTCATCATGAGCATGTGATCTAACCACACGGTAGTCAACACATGATCTAAGGCCAGATCAGGTCGTCTACATGTATACATCATTATAGCTGTTATTAGCTGTATCACCCTATAAATATCTGTACATTTGTGTAATCAATACATGTAATGCATGTTATTTACTGAAATGACAGTTTTTTTTCAAAAATGGAAATTTTTAGACATTCTAAAAAGTGTACATGACTTTCAAGTTTATCATTTGATGATATTAATGTTTACAATGTATATGCACACATATCTTGCTTAAGACTTAGTGATGGCGATTGAAGAATGATGCCCAATCTCACAGTTTTTTGACACCTTCTGGTTACTTATTAAACTTTCTACTTGTTTCAGGAATTATTTAGTACAATTAAAGTTAGAAGATATCAGTGATAAAAGTGCACTGGTGAGTACAATAAATAATTTACTGTAAAAACTAAATACAAATTACTGACGATGATAGATGTCAATATATGACAGAACAACTTAATCCCTTACTAACTGGGGACTGCTACCTAACAGAAATATACAAATGCAAATTAAAAGTACTAGAATAAAGATAATGTTAAAGTAATCAAAGACACTACAAGACATGTGCTTTCATTGTGCCAGCTCTTTCCATTTTTTTTGTTATAGAAAACAGAAAAGGTTGTGGCTTCAGATGAGAATAGGAAGCTGTGTTCCTTTAATGGGAAATCAGTCGTAAGTATTAAGTGTTTGTAGCCAGTTACATATATAAACTAAAACCTTCAATTTCAGTCACAATTATCTATTCTAAATAATGAATTGGGGATGTCTTGTATAATGATATTTTTTGTTACTTTAGGAGTACTGTCAGAATTATATTAAGTATATTGTACGTGTTGATAACTCCACGCTGTATTTCTGTGGAACTGATGCTAATACTCCGTCAGAATATCAAGTAACGGTAAGTCAAAACTTGTTTGGTTTCATAAACATTCAAAGAACTTTATTCGGTAATAACCAATATTTGCCCCCCAAATCAAACTTTGATGGAGATATATTCAATTAAGTTCTTAAACAGGGGAGTATATGCTGACTTCAAAGTACTGAATATTTTCATAAGTAATGATGCCATATGTACGTAATGACGTCACAAACATGACGTAAACTTCAGTTTTTAGCTCACCTGAGCTGAAGGCTCAAGTGAGATTTTCTTATCACATTTTGTCTGTAATTTGTCTGTCCGTCCGTCTACCTGTCTGTGTGTCTGTAAACTTTTAACATTTTCGACTTCTTCTCAAGAACCGCTAGGCCAATATCAACCAAATTTGCCAGAAAGCATTCTTGAGTGTAGGGGATTCAAGTTTGTTCAAACGAAGGGTCTCGCCAAAATTCAAGGGGAGATAATTGGGAATTAATAAAAATTTGGTGGCATGTTTTAAAAATCTTCTTCTCAAGAACTACAGTGCCAGGAAAGATGAAACTTATATGGAAGCATCCTCAGGTAGTGTAGATTCAAGTTTGTTCAAATCATGACCCCCGGGGGCAGGGCGGGGCCACAATGGCCGACCAAAGTTTTACATAGAAATATATAGGAAAAATTCTTTAAAAATCTTCTTCTCAAGAAAAACAAAGCCATAATTGATCATATTTATATAGAAGCATCCTCAGGTAGTTTAGATTCAAGTTTGTTCAAATCATGACCCCCGGGGGTAGGGCGGGGCCACAATGGCCAACCAAAGTTTTACATAGAAATATATAGGAAAATTCTTTAAAAATCTTTTTCTAAAGAACCACTGTGCCAGGAAAGATGAAACTTATATGGAAGCACCCTCAGGCAGTGTTAATTCAAGTTTGTTCAAATCATGACACCTGGGGGTAGGCCGGGGCCACAATGGCTGACCAAATTTTTACATAGAAATATATAGGAAAATTCTTTAAAAATCTTCTTCTCAAGAACCACTGTGCCAGGAAAGATGAAACTTATATGGAAGCATCCTCAGGTAGTGTAGATTCAAGTTTGTTCAAATCCTGACCCCCGGGGGTAGGGCAGGGCCACAATGGCCGACCAAAGTTTTACATAGAAATATATAGGAAAATTCTTTAAAAATCTTCTTCACAAGAAAAACAAAGCCATAATTGATCATATTTATATGGAAGCATCCTCAGGTAGTGTAGATTCAAGTTTGTTCAAATCATGACCCCTGGGGTAGGGCGGGGCCACAATGGCCGACCAAAATTTTACATAGAAATATATAGGAAAATTCTTTAAAAATCTTCTTCTCAAGAAAAACAAAGCCATAATTGATCATATTTATATGGAAGCATCCTGCGGTAGTGTAGATTCAAGTTTGTTCAAATCATGACCCCTGGGGGTAGGGCGGGGCCAAAATGCCAACCAAAGTTTTACATAGAAATATATAGGAAAATTCTTTAAAAATCTTCTTCTCAAGAACCACTGTGCCAGGAAAGATGAAACTTATATGGAAGCATCCTCAGGTAGTGTAGATTCAAGTTTGTTCAAATCATGATCCCTGGGGGTAGGGCGGGGCCACAATGGCCGACCAAAATTCTACATAGAAATATATAGGAAAAATTCTTTAAAAATCTTCTTCTCAAGAATAACAATGCCATAATTGATCATATTTATATGGAAGCATCCTGAGGTATTGTAGATTCAAGTTTGTTCAAATCATGACCCCTGGGGGTAGGGCGGGGCCAAAATGCCAACCCAAGTTTTACATAGAAATATATAGGAAAATTCTTTAAAAATCTTCTTCTCAAGAATAGCAAAGCCATGATTGGTCATGGGACTACTTTTGGATTTAAACTTTTCAATAATAACCAATTTCTACTCAGGTGAGCGATGTGGCCCATGGGCCTCTTGTTTATGAATTTTACAGAAAAATGTACATATTTCGTTGATATTTTGAGTAAAAGTCACCGAGCGCATGTGTGTTCAGGATCAATATTTTGATATAATGTGTAGAATGATAATATCAATGAAACATGTCAGTATTGTTCCTGAACAAACTTGCGCTCTATAAATTATAAAGCTAAAATTGTTGAAATTTTGTCCATTTTGTCCTCTTTCTGAAAAAGGATATAAAATCGGACTAGTTTGTGACGTCATAAAAACAAAAATTGTGAATACACTGCTTTGACACTATAATATTGTCTGTTAATTTATATTTCTCATACAATTTATTGAATTCAGCACATTTGAGGAAGTTTTCAAAATTTGACTTTTGTGGGGGCAAATATATGCAATATACCACATATAGTTCTTTACATTTTTCCTGTAATCACGTTTTTAATTATACAAAAATTAAACATATAGAGTATATATAAGAGGTATTTGCACAGTTCAGATATAATTATGCCTTAGAAATTATTGTCGATATTATATTCATACGATATTTCAGTATTTAAATACTTTAATATTTCAGATAAATGATAATAAATTAGAGATATCATCTCCTCAAAAAGCCACTGCATGTCCAAGAGATCCAAAGGACAACACAACAGCAGTTTATGTCAGTAAGTACAGAGAATCAGACTCATTTAAAGGAGAAATAGGCATCAGGAATTATAGTTACATGTACTTCTATGATGATCAATAGAAATTTTTGTTTCATGAAAGCACATTTTCAAGTACAAATGCAGTCAGGAAAGGATATAATGAACAAAGGTAGGCTTTGTGTCTGACGAGTCTTAAAAAACGGTGTAAGTTGAAATAGATCCCAGATACACATGTATGTGCTTTTCCAGACAAAATCAAGTTGTTGTTGCTTTTCACTTTGAAGTTTTTTTGCAAAGGCAATAAGAATTATTCTGCCTCTGTATATTTTTTCCGTAAAAAAATTTATGACTGCTATAATAGTTTTTAGCTCACCTCAATAAAGAGGAGATTATGCATCAGCTTCCTAGGTTTTTGAAGCAGATTTCAAGTACTTTTATGCCCTAGGTGAAAACTTGCTATTGTCTTCATAAAATTTAGTAAAAAGGTGTATAATATACATAACTATATGTGCTAATGTGTTTATAAAGGAGGTAATACTTAGGCTTCATCAAACTCTTCACATCCACAGTAGTTCCTGGGTAGTAGATTGAAGGGTTTGTCATCCAATGTGTGAAACAAAATATTATCCACATTATGTTATAAATAGTTTTAAAAAAAAAACCCAGCTGTACTGTGAAATGGTGTTAATCAGGTTTCTCTATTGATTTTTGATAATCTGCAGAACTAGATCAGACGATGGGTGACCTAGTTCTGGTAAAATTATACAACACCCGCTGGCAGTGTATATAGCGATCATCTAGAGTAAACAAATCCTGACTGTGGCTCCAGAAACTCTTATAATATGTATATGTCTTCACTCTGCAAAATATATGTTTTGACACTGATATATTACCCAGATTTCTTGCTTATAAGATGTTTACTGGTATACAAAAAATATTATAAGAAATTAGGAATACAAAATTGTACTTGACTTCATAAAACTTCTGTTTGAAAAGTGTTTAATTTCTTGGCTTCAATTAAGGTTTAACATGAATCTCTTAAGACCATATGAACAGTGTAGCTTGCATTTACAATGATATTGATTTGTATCTGTAGCCAGCGGTAACCCTGGAGACGTACCAGCCCTCTACTCGGCAACAATCCTTGACAATGGGAAGGCCACCATATCCCGACCACAACTTGTTAAAGATGGTAAAAAAGTGAGCGAAAAATTGGAAAATGCCGACCCCATCCGCTGGCTAAATGGTAAAAAATATACCCGTACAGATCTGCTAGATTCTTAGATGTATTACAAGTCAAGCAGAGTTATCCCTCTTGAAAATAAATTCCATCTATGCAAAATTTTATTAGTTTTTAGGTCACCTGAGTAAACTCAGGTGACCTATTGCTATCCGTTTTCGTCCGTCGTCGCCCGTCGTGTGTCGTGTGTTGTGTGTCGTGTGTCGTGTGTTAACATTTGAACATTTTCAGCTTCTTCTCTGCAACCACTGAACCAATTTCAACCAAATTTGACACAAAGCATCTATGGGTGAAGGGGAACGAAAATTATGAATTTCATGATCCCTGCCCGCCTGGGGCCTGAGGGGTGGGGCCAAAACCACTAAAATTAATGCAATCTTTAAAAATCTTCTTCTTTACTCCTGGACATCAAGCAGTCAAACTATTTGCATGATTGTAATCAGCATTGAGTCCTCTACCAAAATTGTGAAATTCATGGCCCTGGGGTCAGGGGTTCTAGTGCTAGGGCGGGGCTAAATAAGTAGATAAGGAAAATGCATTATTTCTTTGAAAATCTTCTTCTCTGCTCCTGGGTATTAAATAAACCAACTAAGTACATAGTTATGATGAGCAAGAGTGCCTCTACCAAAATTGTGAATTTTATGGCCCCAGGGTCAGGGGTTCTGGTGTTAGGGTGGGGCTCTATTAATTATATAGTAAAAATACATGATTTCTTTGAAAATCTTCTTCTCTGCCCCTGGGTATTAAATAAACCAAGTAAGTAAATAATTATGATGAGCTAGAGTGCCTCTACCAAAATTGTGAATTTTATGGCCCCAGGGTCAAGGGTTCTGGTGTTGGGGGGGGGGGGCTCTATTGATTATATAGTGAAATTACATGAATTCTTTGAAAATCTTCTTCTCTGCTCCTAGGTATTAAATAAACTAACTAAGTGCATAGTTATGATGAGCAAGAGTGTCTCTACAAAAATTGTGAATTTTATGGCCCCAGCATCAATGGTTCTGGTGTGGGGGGGGGACTTTATTGTTTATAAAGTGAAAATACATGAATTCTTTGAAAATCTTCTTCTCTGCTCCTAGGTATTAAATAAACTAACTAAGTACATAGTTATGATAAGCAAGTGTTCCTCAACCAAGATTGTGAATTTTATGGCCCCAGGGTCAAGGGTTCTGGTGTGTGTGTGTGGGGGGGTGGGCTCTATTGATTATATAGTGAAAATATGTAAATTCCTTGAAAATCTTCTTCTCTGCTCCTAGGTATTATATAAACTAACTAAGTGCATAGTTATGATGAGCAAGTTTGCCTCAACCAAAATTGTGAATTTAATGGCCCTATCATCAAGGGTTCTGGTGTTGGGGGGGGGGGGGGGCTCTATTGATTATATAGTGAAATTACATGAATTCTTTGAAAATCTTCTTCTCTGCTCCTAGGTATTAAATAAATCAACTAAGTGCATAGTGATGATGAGCAAGAGTGCCTCAACCAAAATTGTGAATTTTATGGCCCCAGGGTCAAGGGTTATGGTGTTGGGGGGGCTCTATTGATCATATGGTGAAAATACATGAATTCTTTGAAAATCTTCTTCTCTGCTCCTAGGTATTAAATAAACTAATTAAGTGCATAGTTATGATGAGCAAGAGTGCCTATACAAAAATTGTGAATTTTATGGCCCCAGCGTCAATGGTTCTGGGGGGGGCCTTTATTGATTATATAGTGAAAATACATGAATTCTTTGAAAATCTTCTTCTCTGCTCCCAGGTATGAAATAAACTAAGTAAGTGCATAGTTATGATGAGCAAGAATGCCTCTTCTAAAATTTTGAATTTCATTGCCCCAGGGTCTGGGGTTCTGGTGTTAGGGTGGGGCTCTATTGATTATATAGTGAAAATACATTGTACATTAAATCTTTGAAAATTTTCTTCTCTGTCTCTGGGTATGAAGCAGATGAACTACCTATATAGTTATGATGAACAAGGGCCCTAATCTTGCAGAATTGTGAATTTCAAGGCCCCAGGGTCAGGGGTGGGGGGGCTCTACTTATATACTGAAAATGAATTAATTGTTTGAAATCTGGTCCTTTGTATTTATAAAACATTTATTTACTTTTTGATAGGCAATTTTAAGGGTGCCTTTTAAAAATTTGTGCAACCTAGGGTCAGGGGTTTATGTGAGAGTGTTAGGGGCACTACTGATTATTGATTAATATTACTGATTAGTTGGAGTGCATTTTTGTTCCCCTACCCTGCTTATGGTTATTCAGTAACCAAGCTAAGCAACTGCTAAGTTTATTGTTATGATGATCAATGGTGCCCTTTCAAAATTGTGAATGCCATATAGCATCTGGCTTAAAACATGAATCAAATTCAATACACTGTAACTGGAAAGTTGTTGCATAATGCTCAGGTGACCTATAAGGCCCGTGGGCCTCTTGTTATTAAAAAGTAATTTGTTTTGAGATAATTTTTTTCTCTACTGTTGTAGAGCCCCAGTTTGTTGCCTCCTTTGATGTTGGGGAAGATGTTTACTTTTTCTTTCGTGAAATTGCTCTGGAGTACACAAATTTCATGAAGAAAATGGTCTCAAGAGTAGCAAGGGTTTGTAAGGTAAGCCACATATTCACCCGTAACAACGCGGAAAAATCATAAAAATAAATAAAAATTAAAAGTTACATTTAATGTTTGTGATAATTTTTACGTTGTAGAAAGACCTAGGTGGAAGTAGCTTACTTGTCAACAAATGGACGACGTATCAGAAAGCGCGACTTAACTGCTCCTTACCCGGGTCGTTCCCATTCTATTTTGATTTAATTCGTAAGTTTATAACAAATGTTGTACTGGTAATTGTCCTGCAGTTATCCCTTAATATTGCAATAAATACACTCCTTTGATAGAATTATTTGCATTTGCTTGCATAATAACATACATGTTTAAAGTTGCTTGTGAAAAAGATTATTCATTTAGAAGTATAAAAAAAACATTCTTTTGTGCTTTTGTATGTGATGGATTCTGAAAAGAATTCTTCATTTTATTTTTAGGTCACCTGAGTCACTCAGGTGACCTATTGCCATCCGTGTTTGTCCGTCGGCGTCCGTCGTCCGTCGTGTGTTAACATTTGAACATTTTCAGCTTCTTCTCTGAAACCGCTAAACCAATTTCAACCAAATTTTGTATACAGCATCTGTGGGTGAAGGGGAACAAAAATTATGAATTTCATGGTCCCCGCCCCCCCCCTGGGGCCTGAGGGGTGGGGCCAAAACCATTAAAATTAATGCAATCTTTAAAAATAAGCTTCTTTACTCCTGGACATCAAGCAGTCAAACTGTTTGCATGATTGTAATCAGCAATGAGTCCTCTACCAAAATTGGTATTGGTTCTAGTTGGGGTCAGGGGTTCTAGTGCTAGGGTGGGGCTAAATAGGTAGGTAGTGAAAATACATTATTTCTTTGAAAATCTTCCTCTCTGCTCCTGGGTATTAAATAAACCAACTAAGTACATAGTTATGATGAGCAAGAGTGCCTCTACCAAAATTGTGAATTTTATGGCCCCAGGGTCAGGGGTTCTAGTGTTAGGGCGGGGCTCTATTGATTATATAGTGAAAATACATGAATTCTTTGAAAATCTTCTTTTCTGCTCCTGGGTATTAAATAAACTAACTAAGTACACAGTTATGATGAGCAAGAGTGCCTCTACCAAAATTGTGAATTTTATGGCCCCAGGGTCAGGGGTTCTTGTTTTAGGGTGGGGCTCTAATGATTATATAGTGAAATGCATGAATTCTTTGAACATCTTATCCTTTGCTCCTGGTTAATATGCTAATAATCTAATTACATATTTAAGGCCAGGATTTATTTTATTTTCAGTTTTACAAACCCTCCGCTCAAGGTTTTGAATTTTCAGAAAAAATAATTTTTTTTTTCTTTCCGATGTCAAATTTGAGTCGGGATTGAGATTTCAAATTTACGAACTCGCACTTCCGGTTTTACGATGAAACGACGGGTAAATAAAGCTAGATCTGAGAAGATAGCTTGGTTTAGTGTAAAATTCATCGATAAGAGTGCCATTCAAAACGTTTCACCCGTTCAAAGGACAAATAAAATGCTGACAACTTTGTTGCACAATGACATGCTGGTGAGATAATTATGTATTCGTTTCAAAAGTATGTGTCTGTAAATTATTTTCCTCCCCCAGGTTTTAAACTGCCCGTGGTAGCTATTGCATATTGCCAGCGACATTGTTTAGGTCTCTGTTATAGCTTACAGTCTAAGCATTATTCTTCAGAAAAGGGTTGCTTATGCATCAGATGTAATGAATAAAACTATGGGAGAAGTTAAGTCCATTTGAGGAAGAAATAAACAATAACCTGAAGAAATAACAAAAATTCAACTATTAAAAGGCAAGAATATACAAATATATACAGGCATGTAGTATCATTTGTATCAGCCAGAAAAATTATTTCACACTTAATTGAAAAAATGTTCACCCTACTCCCCAATACTCTCTGTCTGTTTTATGATAGGAATTATAATTTTAGGCATCAAGTAATTTTAGAACAATGTCTACACATTCACCTAACACATATTAAAAAAATGAAGATATATTGAAAGACTTTTAAAGAATTGATTTTTTAAAATATATTTTGATCAACATCACAAAATTTATATAACTGGCCCAAACTGGCAGATGATGAAATAAGCAATTAAATGTTCTACTTTCCTACTAGTATTTGTAAGCATTATGTGTCCAGTGGTAAGGAGCCTATTAGGATAGCATAAAAAAAGAATGTACAAATGTTAATAATTGATTTATCAAAATTTTTTTTTTATATTTCCTTCTCCTTCTGGACTTTTTTATTCTCATGTTCATAACTAAACCTAAACATAAAAAAAAATGCTGGCCTTATAATGAAGAAAGGGACCTCTTTCAAAATAGATAATTTCAGGGCCGCTGGGTCAGGGGTACCAGGGGGGTACTTTGACTAAAAATAAATTAATGCTTTGAAATCTGCCCTTTGATAAGCAATGGTGCCTCTTTCAAAATTTGTGAATTTCATGGCTTTTGGATTAAAACACGAACCAAATACAATCGCTGGAAAGTTGTTACATGATACTCAGGTGACCTATAAGGCCTGTGGGCCTCTTGTTGCATATGAATTTTAAATGTAAATACCAGTATTGCATGATTGTAATAGGAAACAAAGTTTGTGATTAAAGAAGAGCAGACAGGTGATCTAGTTTATTCTTTGCTTTTTTTATACATGTCTCCCCAAAAAAATGTTTTTTGAGAAATATGAAATTCAATTTTATATTATCTAGAGGATGTACAATTGGTGAATAATACATTTTACGGATTGTTTATCTCCTCTGTGTAAGTATGACATTGATATAAGTGATGTGTGCATATAGACAGTAACAACAGCTTCATGTGCTGTTTTAAGTCTGAAGATAAAAATAACAGCTAAACATGCTGCTACATGTGTATAAGTCTGTATATAGTAACAATAGCTACACGTTTTTTATGGGTGTTTTCAGCATAAATTAACGTGGAATGAATTTTGAAAGTGTGATTGTGAACTATGAAGAGGTTGTCAGTGTTGTGATATGATTTTCTGTATTGTTTCAGGAATGGGTCGTCTGGTTCTGCCATCTGTGCCTTTACGGTGGACTCGGTCAAGGACAGGTTTGCTGACCGGGTGTACAAGTACCGGGAAACACCAAACTCCATCTGGACCCCCCTCCCTGCCAGTAAAATCCCCGATAAAAGTGAGCCAGGGAAGGTTAGTATCAGTGACTCAGGCATAATGAAACATTTAGCTCTTACTACATATATATCAATAACTCAGACTTAATGAAACATTTAGGTCTCACTGTATGTATCAATAACTCAGACTTAATGAAACACACTGTATGTATCAATAACTCAGACTTAATGAAACATTTAGTTCTCACTGTATGTATCAATAACTCAGACTTAATGAAACATTTAGTTCTCACTGTATTTATCAATAACTCAGACTTAATGAAACATTTAGTTCTCACTGTATGTATCAATAACTCGGGCTTAATGAAACATTTAGTTCTCACTGTATGTATCTATAACTCAGACTTAATGAAACATTTAGTTCTCACTGTATGTATCAATAACTCAGACTTAATGAAACATTTAGTTCTCACTGTATGTATCAATAACTCAGACTTAATGAAACATTTAGTTCTCACTGTATGTATCAATAACTCAGACTTAATGAAACATTTAGTTCTCACTGTATGTATCAATAACTCAGACTTAATGAAACGTTTTGTTCTCACTGTATGTATCAATAACTCAGACTTAATAAACATTTAGTTCTCACTGTATGTATATCAATAACTCAGACTTAATGAAACATTTAGGTCTCACTGTATGTATCAATAACTCAGGCTTAATGAAACATTTAGTTCTCACTGTATGTATCAATAACTCAGACTTAATGAAACATTTAGTTCTCACTGTATGTATCAATAACTCAGACTTAATGAAACATTTTGCTCTCACTGTATTTATCAATAACTCAGACTTAATGAAACATTTTGCTCTCACTGTATGTATCAATAACTCAGACTTAATGAAACATTTAGTTCTCACTGTATGTATCAATAACTCAGACTTAATGAAACGTTTTGTTCTCACTGTATTTATCAATAACTCAGACTTAATGAAACGTTTTGTTCTCACTGTATGTATCAATAACTCAGACTTGATGAAACATTAAGGTCTCACTGTATATATATCAATAACTCAGACTTAATAAAACATTTAGGTCTCACTGTATGTATCAATAACTCAGGCTTAATGAAACATTTAGTTCTCACTGTATGTATCAATAACTCAGGCTTAATGAAACATTTAGTTCTCACTGTATGTTTTTGAAGCAGTCAACTCTTTCTTTCTCCTCTCACATCAATTGCGAAATAATCCCTATTTATATTTGCTTAAAGTGTATCAACGATTCAAAGAGCCTTAAGGATGTTGAGGAGAATTTTATGATGGAGTATCCTCTTAAGGATGCTCCAGTACAACAACAGGGGAACAAACCCCTGGTCTTTATGGATGGCATCCAGATGCATGTCCTTCAAGTGGATAAAGAACGAAGTCGTCAGGGAGGGTCCCTCATTCTCTACGCTGCCTCAAGTAAGTTTATATAGTAACAACACAACATGCAGAAAAATACTGTATACGTACCAGGTAGTCAGTATGCTAAAATTGAGCTCCTGTAGTATCAGCTCTTGAGTGAAGGCACATGTAACCTTTATTGCTTTGTATTTTATCATGTATGATATACATTTCTATATATAATTTGAAAATCAACTTTTCCAAACAAAGAAATAAAGATGAAGTTAAAGAAATTTATTTTAAATAAAGAAGGATCTCCTACTGATGCTTTAAGTGGTTTAAAATTGTGTTTTCCTCTCAGATACAGGAGAAGTGTACAAGATTCATTCCTGGGATAATGGCAAAAAGCAGGCCATATCTACAGTGTTCTCACCCTTACCTAAATCAGAAGTCATCTGGGACATGAAGTTCTA